AAAAAATATATGGAATTTATCAAATATTTTCGAAAATTTTAACTGAAATTCTTTTTCAAATCAATTCTTATATCAGAAAGTTGTACAAGAATTCAATTATTTAAATACAAAAATAAATAATTGATAATTTAATAATTATTTCTAAATATTGCAACTATAACTCTATGTACTTATGTATTTTTTTTTTTAATTTGAGAAAAAAAATTCTTATAGACTATTTAAGATTTTCAATAATTTGTTATTTTATTTTTTTCTAGAATTTTTTAACTCAAATTCTTCTTTAAAGAATTTTATTTAAATTGCATTTAAAATAAGTGCGAATTCTTATAATGAATTTTACCAAATTTTTTCAAAATAATTGAATTTCTGCAAAGAATTTTCTTATTTATAAGATACTTAGAAAAAAGAATTAAATTTTTTCAAAAATAAAATTAAAATTAAAATAAAATTAAAATTAATTAAAATAATTTATAAAATTTTATTGGAATTTTTGAAATTAATAACATTTTTGCGAAAAATTCTATTAGAAATTCTTAAAAATAATTGAATTCCTGCGAAAAATTTTATTAATTATAAAAATAATTAAATTCACGTAATTTTATCGAAAAATTTTCAAAGTAATTATAAATTTTTGTAAAGAACTTTATTAAAATTTTCAAAAAACAACTGAATTCTGTCGAGAAATTTAATTAAAATTTTATTGAAAATATTTAAATTCTCTGAAAGAATTTAATGGAAATTTTCAAAAATAATAATTTAATTTTTGCGAAGAATTTTATCAGAATTTTAAAAATAATTAAATTCTTTTCATAAATTTTATTAAAATTGTATTTGAAAATGGATTATTTCCAAAAAAAATCGTATTAAATATTTTCTAAAATATTTTAAACCCTTTGTGAAAATTTTATTTAAAATTGTTTTTGAAAATAATTGAATCCTTTTTTCGTGAAATTTTTCGTGAAATTTTTTTGAAAATAATTAAACCCTTATTTCGTGAAATTTGTTTAAAAATTGTTTTGTTTACAATGCAAACAAAAAAGACAAAAAAATTCAGAATTTTCTTATGAATTCTTTAATTTATTTAATTAATGTTATTCATTCAAATACTGAAATTATTCACGCAGTAAAAAGAAAATCTTATATTCTAAGACAGCAATGCAATTTACGCAATATGGACCTTAAATTAAGATTTAATTTTTTACTGTATTGATTCAAATACTATTACTGATTTAAATATGCGATTATTTATTTGATTTTTGAAAATTATTTTAAATAAAAATTATATTCAAGTTAATATTTATTTGTTGATAGTATCAAATAAATTTTTAATCAAATAAATTTTTAATCAAATAAATTTAAATTCAAATAAATTTTTTTAATCAAGTAAATTTTTTTCTAGGTGTATACTTTTATAAAATTGTTCATATACTTGAATGGAAAGAATTATTATTCACGAAAATAATGATTAAGTATAACGAAAACAAGGCCATTTGTTTCTAAAATTCAACCATTTAATTTGAATGAAGATCTTGGGTTTGGAACTTGGGTAGATCTGGGTCTCTGGGTCAACCCTTTTATTGATTCGACCTCGCACTAGCGAAAATTATTCTCAGGATTTGTTAGCTCCACTGTTTTGTACTCGCGCCCGTTCTGCTTTTGCATTGAATTTCATTTCAGAACCACGAAAAATACACATATTTTTCATATGTGTGTGTGTGTGTGTTTGTGATGTGTATATGCGTTGGCAGTTATAAATGTGATTTTTTTTTCTCTCTTTTTTGGTATATAAAACTATCCGCGGGATTATTATATATATATATATATATGGGATTAAATGCATTTTCAGACTCTCTCGGGGAGAGAAAGAGAGAAAGAGAGAAAGAGAGAGAGATAAATCTTTGTTGAGAACAACGCGAGAGATATAGGAGGAAGGTGACCTCTTTTATTTTTCAGATATATAAGTGGTGACACATATTTTTGGTAAAAGGGAAGGGTCGTAGTGACTTTTCGGGTAAAGTGGGGGAGGGGGGGGACAATAGATTCTGCTATAATGATCGGCTAGGCGCCACTTGGGTCAGTGGGTCAAATTTTTAATGCAATCACCCGGGAATCAATTTTTCAACTGCTTTTTCCTTTTCTTTGATATTTTAATTCTGATTGGTATCAATTATTTCCACTTGCGGATTTCAAAGAAAAAAAACATTGTTTCCACTTTAATAGAGAAATAAAATTTATTTTCGCGATTGAAAGCGTTTTATTGCAAAATAATTAATTGATTCGAATAATAAATATAATATATAAATAGTTCACTCCACTTTATTATAATAAAATCAATTAAACTATTAAAAAAAATATTTGTTTAAGAGAAAATACTTATTTCTTTCAATTAATTTAATAATAATTATAATCGAAATTCAATTCAATTACTATAATTATTATTATACATATGAATTGAATAACTGAAAATTAATAAAGTTTTTTTCATTAAATCTTTTCCTCAATTAATTACTTTCTTGAATATTAGTTCCTTTTCAATTAATTATTTTTTGAATTAGTAATTTTTTCAATTATTTATTTATTTTAAATCTGTTTCCATTTTCATGAAATAAATTTTAAATGAATTTTATTTTTACATATTTCTAATTGAATTTATTAAACTTATTTATTTTTTGTAATGACGAATTCATTAAATTTTAATTAATTAGTAGTAATTATTGAATTATTATTATTATTTATGAACAATAGTTCATTTGTTATAATTTTTCAATCATATTATTATTAAATATTCATTGAATATTTATATATTTTTAATATTGAATTACAATTGAATTATAATAATATAATATTATAATTAATATTAGAATAATTTAAATAATTAATTAAAACAATAATATGAGTAAATAATTAAAAAAAATAGATAAAATACATTAAATAAATAAATTTCATTAATTTCATTAATTTCATTAAATAATACTGAGGAAATTAATTTCAAATTCAATTGTTCATTAAAAGTTTTTTCTTTGAAATAAGAGACTTTTAAAAGAATAATTATATCGAAAAAAGGAGCTAATTGAAAAAAATAACTAATTGAAACAACAACTAATTGGAAAAAAACCATTAAAAAATAACTAATTCAAAAAAAAATTAATTGGAAAAAATAGATTAAAAAAAATTCAATAAAAAGAAATAATTTATTACAATAAATAGTTGATTGCTTTAAATAATTGATTGTATAAAAATAGTAAACGCAAAAACAATAAATACAAGAAGAAAATATTTGACACAGAAAAATTAACAATTAAAAAAAATATTAAATTGAAACAAATTATTTACACAAGATTTAAATTAATTATTAAAATAATTTTTTATAATTCAATTGATAATTAAAACAGTGGATAATTATTTAAAATAATATAATGCCTTCAAAACAATGCCTTCATTTATAATAATATTATAAATAATTAATTCAAATAAATAAAAAAAAATAATTTTCAACAAATTTTATTTCAGACAGAAATATCGATTTAAATTAAAAAAATATTTAGGACTTAATTAAACAATTATAAATTATAATTAATTAATTACAAAAATCATTTATTTATTCGTTTATTTAACAAATAAATAAATAATATTTAATATTTATTTATGTGATATTTCCAGAAAATAGCGTATAATCGAGAAAAGTCAATTAAATAATCGTCAATAGACGTTTGGAAATTTTCAATATTAATCGAAAATAAAATATTTCTATAATCAGAATGGAGCTAATTAAGTATATATTATTATGACTGTAAAATTGTCACTGGCGAATGTAAATAAGGAACTTATTTCAAAACAAAATTTTCAATAATATGACGATTGAAAAAGAATATATTGATTAAAAGTTGATTCATATTGAGAGAAAATAAAAATATGTGACAGAGTAAATACAAATATCCTTTCAATGACAAATAAAATTATTACATGAAAATAAATTTGTAAATAAAATTATCAATGAGATTTTTTCTTCAATAAAAGAAATGGTGAAAATATCTTTAACTATAAATAATATTTTTGTCATTATTTGAATTATTATTATTCGAATAATTACAAAAAAAATTATTTTCTGACATTCCATAAAAGTAATTGGAATTATTTTAATTCTTGCATGCTTGCAGTTAATAATTAAATATTAATTCCTAGTTTATCAATCTTTAGGGAAAAAAACATTGTGAATGAAAATTATATAACAATGTTATATAAATTCAATTATTAGATTTTTTTGTTGAAATTGGAATTTCCAATGATTGTTGGATTAAATTTATAATAGTCGGTCAAGTAGATATCTACGGTATTAACAATGTTCCCGTCGGTAAATTGTAATTCAAACTTCTATTTTTCGTCACCAGATAGCGTTACCAGACAGACAAAGGGTTTTTAATTTTATTCATTTTATTTTCGAAAATGAAAGATTGAAAAACATGGAAATATTAAATAAAATTTGCAAAGTTACTCCATTATTATTTATTTACGAATTTGTATCTTAATTTTGAACTTTTAGTTTCTATTCAATTAGCTAAAAACTGTTACAATTTCAACGACAATAATATTCTCGTAATCGAATATGTTTTGTAAATAAAAACGAATCCTTATAATTCAACCGAATTTTCTCTAATTTTCAACTTCTAGAGTTAGTGTTTATAAATATTGCACTCACTGCAACTGTCGAATGATAAAATACTTGGATAAAACCAACAAAAAACCATAGGCAAAATTGCTTTCTTTCCCTGATCGATAATTTCATGTTGCAACAATAATATACAATAGTAATATAGAAAAAACTCACCAATAGTTCTTGATTAAATAACATTCTCGTAAAAACTAACCTCGATTTTTTCCGATGTTGATGATGTTGATCCGGCATCTGCAGCAGCAAGAAATCCAAGGAATCCAAGTGTTTGGCGCCAACGCCATTTTCATACTGACAACTCGCATGATAACTAGGTTAACTTTCTTATCAACCTGAAGTTAGCTGACAGTGATCGTGTATATTATTTTCAATAGTAAAGTGGTCATAGATTGATGCGGTTAAAAAACAATATAATTAATTAATTAATATGAATTCCACCAAAGAGGAATTTTTATGGTCTAATACTGCATGTCGTTTAGTTGTAAATGCTGTTTCACATCCCATAGAATATGCAAAAGTTTTAATACAGGTAATATTCAATTTTATAAACAACTGTAAGGTTATGTTCTAAATTTCAATTTTTGCATTAATTATTAATAAATTAATAGTTAATTAAAATATTTTCCGATTTTTAAGTTTTTAACTAATTCTTTGTTTACAGATCGGACATGAGCCTGTTGGGCCATATCAGTCAAGAACATTGTTTGGAAGACCTGCGTTAGCTTTACCAAATGTTTATAAATATAGTAAGTTATTGTCCTATTTTTCTATTTTTTTTTTTTTTTTAAGAAGTAGACCGAATTTTTTCATAATATTTTATTTTATTTTAAAATTTTATTCTAGTAGTTTTTGAAAATATTTAAATAGAAAATAAATTTTTGTTCATTTGAACGTTTTATTGGAATATTTATTTTTTTTCGTAATTGTTCGCAAAATCTAAGAATATATTATTTATTTAATTTAATATTTACAGTTAAATATATTAAAAGTGTCGATGGATTCACCGGTTGTTATCGTGGATTAGTGCCAAAATTATGCTCATACACTGTCAGTACAATTGCATGTGAAAAGACTGCCGAATCTATTAAGTTTGAGCCAGGAACAAGAGAGACTTATCCTGAAGATGAAGAGGAAAGGTAGTTTTTTCTTTTCTTTTTTTGCTGAAAGAAAACTGATTTTTTTCTTGCTAATAAAAATTGTTTCCAAATTTTTTCCAGTGCTGAAAAATATATTCAAGAATTTATCAGAGATTTAATTAGCAAATCAGTAGGAATTATCGTTAGTCATCCTCTAGATGTTATTGCAATTCGAATGATGGCTCAATTCGTAGGTGACGAAACAAAATACACGTGAGTTTGTGTCAATTCTTCAAAAATTAATTATAAATTAAAATAAAATCAATTAAATTAATAATTAATAATTTTCCCTTCTCTTTTGTTTCATACAGCGGTTTGATGCAATCTTTAATAGAAATTTACAGGGAAAATGGAATTGCAGGATACTTTTCAGGATTAATGCCACGATTGATTGCCAGTGCGGCAACTTTAGCGATTGTCAGTTCGTCTACTTATATTATTAATAAGTACATTATAACGGATCGAGAAATGAAAAGTTTCACAGCGTCAACAATGACGGTTTGTATTTTTTTTTAGTTTCTTGAAAAATTATATCAAAGTCATTTTATAAAAAATTGTCTAAAAAAAGGAAATACTTTTTTTTAGTTCCTGGCTTCCACTATCACTTATCCATTTATTGTCGTATCTCACTGCATGGCTGTCAACGATTGTGGGTAAGCGATAAACTAAATAATATTAACCAAAATTAAATACAGTTAAGCATTTTTATTTATATTTTGCATATTTTTTCTCGTAAGTTCGTCAAATTAATGAGAATTTACTCTGAAAATCAGAAATAATTTTTTTATTATTAATTTATATAACTCTGCAAATTAAATTTATGTTCACTTAATTGTTTAAATTAAATTTATTGTTTATTAATTATTCAATTCTGCAAATTAAATTTATTTTTAATTGAAATAAATTTTTAATTGCAATTGAAATTGAAAATTTGATTTTAAATTAAATTTAATTGTATAAAATTAAAAATATCGTTTATTTATTTTTATTCAATCGTGGAAATTAATTGCTTATTAATTTTATTTATTTCTATAAATTAAATTTATTCATTAACTATTTACTTTTGTACATTGTGAATTAAATAATTGTCAATTTGAAAAGATTGGTAGCTGGAGTGCCGCCGAAAATGCCAATCTATGGCAATTGGCTCGACTGTTGGGCCCATTTGTCAGCGACAAATCAATTAAAACGTGGAAGCAGCTTGATCTGGCGTTACTACACAGGACCAGTGACTCTTTTAAATGGCAAACCATTTCCACTGAGAATAGCCAATAAATAATTAAAGTGTTCATTAATCGTTTCCTAATGTTCATTCTATTAAATGACCTCTTTATACAAAAAAAGAAAAAAAAGAAGAAGTACGATTCCAAACTGTAAATTAAAGCATTTATTGTATTATAAATCAAAATATTATCTAATATTTCTTTGAAAATTTATTGAAAAATAATTTTTTTTATCCTTACTTCGTTTCTTTTAAACGAATTCAGTTAAAAATGTGAGTAATCGAAAGTTTATTATATAATTAAATTAAAAAAAAGAATTTAAAAAGCAGGTAAATTTTATTTGTATTCGAAAAAAATTCAGACTAGAAATAGTAATCGAAAGTTAAATCTTAAATTATTATTCAATTTTAAAAGAAATTTTAAAGCAAATATTTTTTTAAATATTTGAATTCGAATAAAATTTATAATTTGTATCAAAGAAAATTTCCACCAACCAATTTTACATTTTCCATAAAATTGTTATTCGTAATTTGATTCAAAACTCCCAAAGTATAATTAATTATAATTTTAATTTTTCATATTTGACAAGATTTTCTTTTATTATACAATGATTAAATTTGTAATATTTTTGAAAATAATAATGATACAGTCCAAACGAATAGAATTTTATTTAAATCGAATTTTATTGTTTAAGAATAAAATATTAAGAAATTTTTTTCAATTTCTTGCATTTTTTTTTTTTTTTTTTTGCTGGAAAAAAAAGACAATTTTTTTAATTTTTCCAAAATTTTGACAAATTTTTCGTCAATAAATTAATACAAAATAAACTTAATTACATATTCAGTTTTAACAAATTCATATAATATTTGTGAAAAATAAATTTTAATTTAAAAATTCATTCACACATTATTCAATTTATTTAACAAAATTATATTCTCTATAAAATAGCTTTATAATTTATAGAAAAATTTTAAATATATTGCAAATTTAAAAAGATTTTTCTCTCTGGAAAAATAAACTTTTATTGTTAAAAAGGTCCCCACACTTAAAGCCATTATTGATCAATATTTCTATAGAATAAAAATTTTTGATAATAGAATTTTAAGGAGTAATATTAATAATTATTATTATTAATATTAATAATAATAATTGCTAATACTATTAATAATAATAATTGCTAATATTATTAAAAATAATAATTGATAATATTAATTACTAATATTAATAATCATTATTGCTAATATTATTAATAATAATAATTGCTAATATTAATAATAATTATTATTAATATTAATGAATTATAAATAATTAATCGAAATAAGCACTACGAGTGCAACAATTGTGTCAAAATAGAAAGAGTAGAAAATTTTCAAGATACTTTTCTCGTCTCGTTTTTGTAAGATGGAGGGGACTATAAAAGCCGTTGTGGTATATTTTTTTTAGAAATTAAATCTTACGGTAAAAATTATTGAGGATTGTAAACAGTAAACTAAACTAAAAGGTCTATAGAGATAAAGATTTTGGGATAATGTCATAGACATCGAGAGAGAGACTGAAGAGTCATTAATATTATAATAATTGTTTCTTTCTCTATAGGCCTATGTATCTGCCACTGTAAAATTTTTTTTTCACGACGAAACGCACAGAAGCGCGTGATTAGCATTTTTTTTTTTACTCTTGAGGTACAATTTTTCGAGGCAGGATTTGCTAGAAATATTATCGTACGTTTACACATCAACCAACTGACATTTACAAATCAATTTCACACAGTTTTTTTTTTTTTGTTTCTTGATTTAACAAATCTCAAATGAAATATGTTCTTTTACAATCTTTACTTTCATATGCAATACAGCGTTAAAATTCAGAGTGTCATTTTTTTTCTGTAATGATACTGCAAAAATTGTGTAGGTGTAAAAAATTATTCTTCATATCAGTCCGACAAAATGAAACAGCGATATTTGCGGGGAAATAACGTGTTTCATTGTCCTTTTTTTTTGCTTGGTGATTTTAATTATAATAATATGTTTACGATATAAGTTGTATTTCATATAAATGGTAAAATTGTATTTTTTATATTATTCAGTAAAAGGATAAAGATTTTTTTTTTTATTCACCGATATGACAAGTAAAAGTGAGCTAAATACCAGGATGGGATTTAGATCGTTTGGAAGTTACTGGTCCTCTTCTCTTTTTGCTTGGGCCGGCGTTGCAGGCGTTGCCGGTGTTGGATCATCATGGAATAGTGGATTTTTCACTTCCATCTCGCCAGTCTGGTAAAAAAGAATTGCCTCACTACTTTTATTTTTTAATTTTTAAAAATTAAAAAAAATTTTTTTTTTAATTTTTATTAAATAATAATAAGAAATACAAAAATATTAATAAATAAAAGAAATAACAAATAAAAAGAATTTTCAATGAAAATAATAATAAATAAAATAAATAACAAATAAAAAGAGTATTAAATAAAAATAATAATAAATATTTTAAATTTTAATTAATTAATTTTTTAATTCGTTTAAACTTGATTTCTAAAGTGAAAATTAATTTTGCAGACGAACTCACTGGTGCTAGACCCGGACATTCATAAACAGTATAATCTCCATTCTCCTCATCGCTATCGGCTTCAGAAACAGAACCTGGATCACGATTCGCTGCTGACACTCGACTGCAATTAATTAATTTTTGAATTTATTAATTAATAAATAAATTAAAATTAATGAAAATTAATTTTTTAAAAATATTTTCAAATAATTTTTGAACGATAATAGTTTTTCAATTTTGAAAAATTTCTAAACAATTAAAATTTGGTAAAATCTTTTATAATAATTTTAAAAAAACTAATAAATTTTTTGATAAATTTTAATTAAAAATTTTGAACATTATTGTTTTCTCCAAAATGTTAAAAATAATTCTAAACTGTTATTATTTTTGGAAATATGTAATTGAAAATATTAAAAATATTGAATTTTAAGAAATTAGAAGCTAATTTTCATTTTTAAATTTACCTTTAAAGATTTTTCATTAAAATTTTTGATAATTCAATTATTTTCAAAATTTGCAATTAAAAAAAAGTTTGATTTTTAAAGTTGATTTTTAAAAATTGTAACAAAATACTTGAAATAAATTAATTATTTTCAATCAAATTTTACAAATTTTTAACTATTCAAAAACAATTTTTGAAAGATTTGTTTATAGTTATTTTTCGCATTATAAAAATCAAAATAAGTTGCACTTTTTTTCACTAAAAGTTGTGGTATTTTCTTGCAATGTTTAGAAGAAAAGTCGAAAAAGTCGCATTTTTTGAAAGTAAGTCGAAAAAGTCTCAATTTTCTTAATTTCCCTGATAAAAACTTTTTTCATGACATTTACCTGACTTAACTGACAAAAATTTTGTTTTAATGTTTCATGGAAATTTTATCATTTATAAAAACCTGGAAATCATGGAAAAATCATGGAATTTTATAAGGAGAAATTTGTAGAAACCCTGAATATTTAAATTCGAATCGAAAATACTGAAGGAAGAGGATGATCAATTTTTGAAAGAATGAAATGATTCAAGAAAGAGGGAAATGATCAATTTTGGAACTAACTTTTCCATTGCAATAATCTGTTGCTTCTGATGTTGGAAATGGTACATTTGGGCTGATTGCGCCAATCTCTGATCACCGGAAGGTGAAACGTCCTTATTTGGACCTGTCACTCCATAAGCTGGATATTCAATGTCAGCCGCTGCTTTTGCCACTCGTTGAAGTCTGAAAATTATTCCAAAAAAAGGTAAATTACATCATTTTTAATTAATTAAATAATTAAATAAGATTTTTCATTAATTCAGGCTTTGGATCGACTTTAAAACACAAAAAATGTCGTTTCAGTCAATTAAAGATATAAAAAAGGAGAAAAATTATTTTCTCTTTCGTTTATTTTACTCTAAATTTTATCTGAAATTTCCCTCATAATCAGAAAATAATTTTTCTAAAATTCTCCAAACTGTATAATTTATTTCGTAAAAATTTCACAAAATTGACAATATTTTTCATTTAATTACTTTCGAGGATTTAATTACTTTCAAAAAATTGAATTATTTTCTAGAATTTTTATTAGTAAAATTCTTTTCTAAAATTTCTGCAAATAATTCTTCCAATATTCAATTATCTTCTGGAATGTTTAACGATTTATAAATTTAATTAATTCTTTTTCAACTCAATTATTTGTAATACTTTCCAGAAAATTCTTTGATAATTTAAAATTAATTCTTAAGAAAAAAGAAAATTCATTTAAAATACAATTATTTTCAATTCAATTTTACAAAATTTCAATTATTAGAAAATTTTTCAATTAATTTTATGAAAAATAATTTAATTCTTTGATAATTTAAAATTATTCTTAAGAAAAAAGAAAAATTTTTCAAAAAAATTTTTCAAATAATTTTTTCTATATGAATAATTCTACTAATTTCAAATTCATTTTTAAAATTCAATTTCCAGAAGTTTTAATTAAAATTTTTCTCTAATTCAATTATTTTGAATAATTTTTAGAAAATTTTTCGAAAATTGAATTGTTGAAACACAAAATATTCAATTTTTCATAAAAATTAATGAATTAAATTAATTTTAAATTCAAATTACCTGCACCATGTTAAACTGATCAGAACAACAGCAAACATTGCAGCTGCACTGCAACCAGCGACAACAGCTAAAAGCGAGAAAAATTAATTGTAATAATTAAAAGGAGAAATTAGAGAATTAGAATTAGAATTTGTCACTAGAAAGAAAATACAAGAAAAAGAGAGAAAAATAGAAAATTCCATTATTATAATAATTCTCAATTTTTTGAATTGGTGTCAAGTATTGATTACTTAGGAAAGTACCAATAAAGTAGATATCATCATTGTTTGGTTTTTCGACAGATAAAATCAATGGATTATTAGATGAAGAAAGCATTCTCTTTGGTTCTTGAATCATTGGCAAATTTTGGTGTTCACGTTCATTGTCTTCTTCTTCATCATCATCATCATCATTATTATCAGCGACTGGAATCAAAAAAATTTCCGTTACCTTTTCATCGTAATATTCGAAATCACAAATTTAAATTAAATAAAAACGGAAATCAAATTGAATTAAGAATGAAAGTAAATTGAATAAAAACTGAAATCACACTGAATTGAAAATGAAAGAAAATTGAATTTAAAATAAAAAGAAAGAATTTATTCAATAAATATTAAATGAAACAATTTAAATAAAAAGTGAAATCAAATTAAATTATAAATGAAATAAAATTTGATTTCACTTTTTATTTTAATTTCTCTATTTAATATTTATTGAATAAAAAATGAAACCGAATTCGATTAAAAATGAAATTGAATTAAATAAAAAATGAAATCAAATTGAATAAAAAAATGAAATCAAATTAAATAAAAAGTATAATCCACTTGAATTATAAATGAAATGAAATCGAATTATAAATGAAGTGAAGTTCAATAAAAAAAGAATTTCGATTAATAACTAAATTAAATAAAAAATAAACTAAATTTGAAAAATTATAATAAAATTGATCATAGAATACAATTATTTTTGTAAAATATAACATTCTTCTTAGGAATACAATTATTTTCAAAAATGTTTGTAAAAATCTTCGAAACAATTCAATTATTTTTGTAAAAAATAAAATTCTTCGAAGCAAATCAATTATTTAAAAAAATTTAATAAAATTCTTCCCAAGAATTCAATTTTTTTCAAAAATAAACATTTTTAAAGGAATTCAATTATTAAACAAAATTTTTAATTCTTCGTCAGATTTCAAATATTTTTAATTTTTTAATAAAATTCCTCGATGGATAGAACATATTTTTTAAGTATCTAAGAATTTTTCGAATGAATCAGAATATTCTTTAGGGTCAGTTAAAAGTCAAAATTTTGGCTGGAAATCAGGGATAAGTCAGGGAAAAAGAAAATAAAATTTTTGTGGCAACGGTGTTAAATATTAATAATTAATGGAATAATAATAAAAGTACTCACAATGAGTGAAAGGCGTTTCCTGATAGTAACGAGGATCATTTGGTCTAACCGCAAAAGGATATTCATCATTGAGATCTGGTTCGCCAAAGGCATAAGTGAATTCAGGCATTTTCTCGTAGCGCTCTCTTAATTCATTTGGTTCCCGAATATTTCCACCCTCATGCATTTTCACCAATTTCCCCGGATAATTTAAAAGCCGTTCCTCCATGTCTTTTTCAAATATTGATTTCTGTCGAAAATTCATTGACATGAATAAATTCGGCGATGAAAAAATGGTTTAATGACGATGAAGAAGAAGATGATGAAGATGATGATGATAAATGATGATATGTGACACGTTGCTTTTCATAATTTTTTTTTTTTTTGCAATTACTTTCTTTATTCTTTAAAACACTTTGCCACCTTGAAGTTAATAAAATTCAAGAATGAATTAATAGAGAAAAAAGTCATCAAGAAAATCTTGTTGAAAAAAAAATGTATCAAAAAATGATTTTTAAAATCGTGATAGAAAAAAAATTAACTATTATTAAAAGGCTTCGTTTGAAAATATGAATTTATTTTCATACTTTTTTCTATTTTTATTTATTCCAATTCATTTTATTTACTCTAATTATTTTAATTTCAATACTCAATGATTGTGAATTATTTTCGATTTTCAGTGAAACAAAAATTATTATTGAAATTAAAATTGAAAAATATTTCTTTTGTTGCAGAGGGAAAAATATATTGTTCAACTTGCCTTGAATGAATCGTACTCGGGGTAACGATCCAAATTTGCAATGTATCTGGCAGACGATAAATCATTACGATGAATTTGCTGAATGTAGTCTAGTGGATTTAAATTTTGTTTCTGCAATAATTCAATTAAATTCGGCACATCTCGTGTCTCGAAATTTCGCTTATGAAGCAAATAATCCAATTGATGATCTCGCTGAGATCTTTGATTCATGTGCGAGGGCAAATGAATTCTACGCTGATGACTACTTGGTACATCAAAGTATCTTGCAATTTCCTCTAATGTAAATTCTTTAATTTCTTCGGGAATTTTTGGCACCGCATCTACAAAAGAAATACAAAAAATAGACAAAGTTTTCAAATATCAAGAAAAAAGATAACAATAAGTAAGGAGAAGAAACGTCAAATTACTGACCTTGATAAAATTCAAGTTCCCCAGTTGTGAGACTAATGAGCATTCCAAATGGTAGCAAGAAAGTCGAACGAAATAGTTTGAATTTCATTTTTGTCATTGTAGAAAATAAAAACCAGCTGATGTATTCACAGCTTTATCAAACACTTGTAACGTTTATGAATTGTCGGTGCCATATGTATAACGCGTCATTCATTCAGCTTAGCAGAGAGTTTGCGCGGTTATTTTGCTTATAATCAATACTCCGCACCAGCATCTGACACCATAAGCTTCTTTTTTCTTCTACTTGTTCCTTTTTTCTTCTGTGACACTATTCAACAATATTTCCCCCGTTAAATTCCCCACCTGAAAAAATCAATTCTGTCAGCAAAAAATTTTTCTTTACCAAGAGAGCAAAAAAAATTAACTTTACTTAAGTAAAAAAGAAATAAATTACACGAATTTTCAATTTGTTTTAATTTTTAAAATTTAAATTCTTTACTTGAAGAATTAATCATTTCTTTAATTTTTCAATTGAATGTTTCGATTTTTTAATTTTCCGCAAATTAAAGAATTTTTTTTTTTTACTTTTTTTCTTTAGAACAAAAAGAGAATAAATTTTTATCAGTTGAATTTGAAAAGAATTTTATTTCAAAAGAAAAATAAAGAAATTAAATTAAATTCAATTTCGAATGAAACTGTTTGTTCTTTCTTACCTTATTCGATAAAAAATTTGCTGACCGAAAAGCCTGGGGAATTGCACATTTCTTGTTGAATTCGAAAAATGTAAAAACTGATTAGAGAAATAAAATATACAATTTGAGAATTTAAATAGGAAAGTAAAAAGTTTTAATTTTAATTATTATTAAGTAATTATTGTTGAAAACGAGAGAAAACTAAAAAATAAATAAAAATGAAGAATAAGAAAGAATATAAAATTATTCCAAAAGAATAACAATATTTTGTAAACATATGTATACACAAAGAAGGAAGTGAATTCTTATCAAACTGTTTGAATTGATTAGTTTCCGTTGTTCACTTATTCGCTCAACTTATTTTATCAAAGGACAAGTTTTTAAAATAGAATGCATTTTTTCAGTTTTTTTTTAATAATAAAAAAAATAAATACCAGTAAAAATTGTTAGTAAAACTAAAAATATTTATTTTTTGAACTTTTTTTCGACTTATTTGTATGGAATGCTACTTTTTCGCATTTTTTTCAAAATTATTTTCAAAATTTCCAAATTAAAATTCTCCAAAATTTCATTTTCAATATAATTTTAATGAAATTAATATTTTTTAAAAAATCAATGATTTTGAATCATTATTTTTTTAATTGATATTTTTTAGTATTTCATTAAAGTTATATTCAAAAATTGAAATTTTTGAGAATTTTAATTGCAAATTTTGAAAATAATTACATTGAATAAAATAAATAAAAATTCTTCAAGTTTTCGAAAATCCAAATAATTTAGGTACTAAAAATAATCATTAAATTTTATTTAAAAATCTATTCTTTTTAGAATTATTATTAAAATTTTGGAGTAATTAATAATTTTCAAAATTTTTAATTAAATTGATTGTTCAAAAATTAAATTTTTTATCATTATTTTTAAAAATTCAATTATCTTTAAAAAATGTGAATTAAAATTTTTTATCAAATCTACTTTTTTAAAGTAATTAAAATTTTGGGGAAAAAACATTTATTTTCATATTTGTAACTGAAATTCTTTAAAAACTTGAATACTTTTTAATATTCCACAAAAATTCCCTAAAAAAAATCAATTATTTTCAAAAATTTTTATTAATTTTCAATTATTTAAAGAAATTTTCAATTATTTAAAGAAATTTTCAATTATTTAAAGAAATTTTCAATTACATACAATTAAAAAATTTATTTTGTGTCTAAAAAATTATTTAAAATTTAAAAATATTAATTTTAAGGATTTTTTTATTATAATTTTTAAAAATTCAATTATCTTCAAAAAACGGGAATTAAAATTTTTTATAAATCCACTTTTTTTAAAGTAATTAAGATTTTGGAGAAAAAAACATTTATTTTCATATTTGTAACTAAAATTCTTTAAAAACTTGAATACTTTTTAATATTCCACAAAAATTCCCTAAAAAAATTCAATTATTTTCAAAAATTTTTATTAATTTTTAATATTATTTAAAGAAATTTTCAATTATAATTTATATACAATTGTAAAATTTATTTTATGTCTAAAAATTTTTTAAAAATTTAAAATTATTAATTTTAAGGACTTTTTTATTATAATTTTTAAAAAAATCAATTGTTTCAATTAATTTTTGTTTACATATTTTCAAAGAATAAAGTTAACAACTTTTTTTTAAAGGCAAACCATGAAGAGTTGTAATTAAAATTTCAATTGAAAAATTGAATATTTTCTATGTAAATAATTGAATTCTCGAAGAAAATTCGAAAAACTATTAAAAATAATTGATTAAGAGAAGAAATTTAGTTAAAATTTTCAAAAAAATAATTGAATTTTGAAATAATTACAATTGCAATTCCTGAAAATAATTAAATTTTAGAACATTTAGAATTGAAATTGCCTGGTAATAGTAAAAATGTTTTAAAAAAAAAATATTAGTAAAAATATTACCTATTAGTAATAATAAAAATTTTATAATATTAAAAATATTAGTAATTGGTAAAAATTGTTTGTAAAAATATTAGTAATTAGTAATTAATAAAAATTATTAGTAAAAATTGTTAGTAAAAATATTAGTAATTAGTAAAAATTATTATTAAAAATATTATTTGTGATAGTAAAAATGTTTTAATAATAAAAATATTATTTGTTATAGTAAAAAGGATTTAATAATAAAAATATTAGTAATTACTAAAAATTGCTAGTAAAAATTTCAAATTAATAAAAAATAAAACTAAAGCAAAAACGTAATTATTAAACTAAATTAAGAAAAATGTTCTTATAAGGATAAAATTAATTTTTTACAACTTCAACATTTTCTGTGGTTTCAATTTATTGCTTTGAAATTATAAATTCGTAAAATATGCGTAAGACCAGTTCCGTTTTTAAATTCTCTTCACTTTCATTGAGAAAGTAGGTACACGTCTATTCAATTTTATTCAATATTATTCGACGAAAAAAAAACCAAAATCATCGCTAAACTATTTTAATAGTGTAGTAATTAAAAAAAAAAGGAAAAAAAATACCACGTCTCCTATTACACATATTACAATGTAGACGCTATATTTGGACAAAAATAAAAAACAAATTTCCATTCAGAAGCAATACAAAAAACTGATAATACACGCTATTCTAATTATTCTTCATTTTTATATATATCAAATTTATTTACAACGCCAGAATCAAATATAATACTCTGCGATAAAAAGCAATAGAAAAATTAAGGCTCTTTGATTTCAACTATTTCACGCGAGGCTACAACGCGGCAGCTTCCACTTCTAATTAATACTTAGAATTAAAGGAATGTACACTTACGCATTCATTTTTCTTTTTCTTTTCTTTTTTTTAATTATCATTATTATTATTAATATGGTATTATAACGAATTTCGCCATTTCGTTATTGCGATTGGAAAACATTTTTTTTTTCTCTTTTTCAAAGCTCTAAATTACACACTTGCGCTCTTATGAGTACAATATTTTTCTGCTTTGGAGACGGGAGGGGAATTTGGGAGAATTTATTAATAATAACAATTATTATTATTATTAATAATAAGTTAAAAAAAAAATTCATATAAACTTAAAAAACAAGTTTCACATTTCGCACCTAAATGCAATAATTATTAACTCCGTACAATATATAATAGAGCGTATTTTTATCTACAATTGTCAGCAATAAATATCAGTACATTAAAAAAAAACTGACTAAACTCCTCAACAAAATATAAAAAAAAAATATATGAATTAAATTATTGCGACTGAGAAACAAAAAAGTTGACAAAATTACCAAAGACTTTGGGACTTTGGTATTTAAATTTTTCTCTCTTTCTAATCTAATCGTAATTGTAAATATCAAGTCAACACGATATGATGTCAAATTTAACAGATTTAAATTATCCATTTGTCTCTTTTTTTTACTCGATAACCACGAAGACTAAGACTCTATTTTTTTTGCATTTTTTAATACTACGTGTTAATTACGGCAGTAAACGAAAATATTTCGAGAATTCAGACAATCGAATGAAAAATACCAAAAATTTTTATTTGACTGTTTAAATATTTTCCTGATTCAATTCATGATTTCATTTAATTTCATCATTTCATTTCTTTTCATGATCCTAAAGTTCTAAACGTTCAAATGAACGAAATTTATTTCCTTCTTAAATTAATATTTATTTTTAAATTTTTCTACAATAATTTTGCGTCACTATACAAAAAAATGGACCGAAAAAAATTAATTTCTAGTTAAATGTAAATTTAATTAAATTAATATTATAATTATTTAATTTAATAAAATAATATTTTTTTAATTTAAATTTTTTTTTGTATTGCAATATAAAGAAATGTACCGAAAAAAAGTAATTTCTAGTTTCTAAATTTAAATTTAATTAAATTAATAATATATTATTTAATTTAATAAAATAATATTTTTTAATTTAATTTTTTTAATTTGTATTGCAATGACTATAAAAAATGTACAAAAAAAAATTAATTACATAACATTTCTAAATATAAATTTAATTAAATTAATAATATAATTATTTAATTAAAGAAAATAATAAAATTTATGTTTTTAATTTATATTTGCAAGCAGTAATTTATGGAAATATCTTTAATAAAAATTCCCTTCATTTGAACTTTCAAAACTTGTAATTAATCAAAATTTGACAAAATAGACAGAATTCTCTAATCGGTAAAAAATTATAGTTTCGTAATTTTAATTTCGTATAATAATAAAAAAATAGTAAATTATTAATTAGTAATAAATTATTTTGATAATAATTTAGTTAATAATTAATAATTTTAGTCCACAATATGATTTATAATATTTTATCAAAAATGAGTCAAAAAATGAATCAGGAATTTCTAAAAATGAAAAATAATCAAAAGTGAATCAAAAAATGAGAAAAAATAATCAAAAATGAATAAAAAATGAAAAAAGAGAATAAAAAATTCGAAGAAAAATATATTACAATTTTTTTTTGCAATTAACAAATTTACCATCATTTTCATGAGGTAAAAAAATTTTTTTTAACTAAAAACAAAGATTTGGTAATTTTTTGCAGATAGTACTGAGATTCTCTTTTGAAAATTTAAATACGATTCTCTCATTTTTTTCTTGTCCTCAAAAAAACTATTTTTCTAATTTGTGCTCTCTTTGATCAAAAAATATTTTCTATTTTTTTTCTCACACAACTGGAAATTAATTCTAAAAGAGAAAGTTTAAAAAAATATAATTTTCATCTCATAATGAGAGTAATGGAGGGTTTTTTTTTTGTTTTAATTCTTAGAATTCAATTATTTCTCTTTCGAAAATCGAGAGATCAAATTTGAAAAAAGTTTTTCTGGACTAAAAGTTTAATACATAGAATTTTTGTCATATGAAGAAGAAGAAGAAGAAAATTCTAACGAGAATTTTTTTTTTGTTTCTGATTCTCTACTCTACTTGTACATGATATTTTTTTTCTTTTTTTGAAAACATTCACAAAATAATTTTTTTGATAAACGTATTTTGAAGAGAGACGGTTTCTTTTAAAAACGGTTACTCTTCTTTTATATATACATATACGCGTTTTATGTACATATTTATACACGCATATGTGTATATTTTTACAAATGAGTATTTGTTGTCCTTTTTTTCTAAAATTGTGCCATCGCCGTTGACAAGAGCAAATTTGTCTGTTTTTTTCTCTTTCGATTTTTCCTTTTTTTTTATTACTTCTAGATCGAAGTTTCAATAAATATTTCATTTTTTGTAATTCTAACATTTGCAAGAAATTTTCAAAGAAAATCGGGGAGCGAAAAATTACAAACTTTATAACTTTGTCTTTTTGGAAATTTTCAAGTGATAGTGAAAAAAAATCTATCTCAAGAATAAATTAACAGTACAGGTCAAATCTTTCAGGCTATATTACAAATGTTGTCTCGTAATTTGTCTCCTCTCAGAAAAAAGAGTATCTTAGAAAGAAAATGTAGGAAAAAATTTCAAATACAGAACAAATGGAACTACAAAATTAATTAAATTAACAAAGATAAAATTAAAAAGAATATTAATCCAAAAAAGGACTTCGTCGGGCAAACAAAAAAAAACATTGGAGACAACAAGAGGAATGACTGAAGCGAAAAAAAAATTGGGGAATTTATTTCAAGTCGAGTTCAAGTTCAGGACTCTCGAGAGCAAATGGTTTGATACTTTCGACAATGGGCGTTTGATCGGGATCGACGCGAATGCGAATTTTGTTGGTCTCTAACGAGCGAGGTAGAGTACAAGGAAGATCATCCTTAAATGAGGTTGGAGTGGGTGACGTGTAGGGTACGTATATTCTAACGACATCGGGACTTGGCTGATGAGACGTTGCACGTGGAGTTGGTAAACCACCGCTACCTGAACTACCGTCCGAGACATTACTCTGAGTATCGAGACTATTGTCATGGGCCTGTGAACGTGTCGCTGAACTGAATACAGAGAGATCCGCCGTCGAAGTAACGGATGTATCGGCTAATGATCGACGTGACCCATTGGGTGATGCCCCATCGTCTAGACTTGGATCGAAGGAGAACTTGCTTCCTGCACACACACAGAAATTTTCATTATACCTTGACATTACATTTTTTATAGCAAAAAAATAAAACAAAAAATAAATTAACTCTCAATGGCGGTAAATAAATTTAAAAAAAAAAATGAATTGATTTCCATTTTCCATTTTTTTTTTATTTATTTACGAGAATTGAATTTTTTCTTTAAATTTATTTAAAGTTGGGAAGTTTTTCCTCTAAATAAATTTAAAGAAAAAACTCTATTCTCGTAAATAAATAAAAAAAAAAAAAAAAATAGAAAAAGGAGGGAAGTTTTTCCTCTAAATAAATTTAAACAAAAAACTCAATTCTCGTAAATAAATAAAAAAAATGGGAAAAGGAAATTAATTTAATGCTTGTTAATAAATTAAAAAAAATTGTGGGGAAAGAAATTAACTCAAGGCCCGTAAATAAATTGAAAAAAGGGAAAAAATAACTCAATGTCGGTAAAAAAATTAAAAAACAGAAATTAAATTATTTTTTTCCTTTTTTTCTTTTTCTTTATTTTTATAAATTTAAAAACAGAAAAAAAGTTAACTCAATGCCCATAAATAAATTAAAAATAAATAAATTTAAAAAAAGAAACAGAAATTAACTCAATGCCCGCAAAAATTAAAAAAAAGGGGGAAAAAATAACTCAATGCCCGTAAATAAATGCAAAAAAAAGAAAAGAAAAAAAGGAAAAAAATAAAAAAGGAAAAATAAAAAATGGGGAAATAAAAATAATTCTCAAAATACACTTCTAGAACACATTTTATAAAAAAAAAACTATTTCTACTGCATACGTTTCAATACTGAGTGGAAATGGGAATTGAATCCAGTTTTTCATTTTAAAAAACAAACAAAAATCAACTGTTCTCAAAATAAAATTTTTCAGAAATTTTTTTTCAGAAAAAAAAAGAAAATGAAACTTTAAAAACTGAACATATTTTGCAAAAAAGTAGAAAAATTTGTTCCAATTTCAAAATAGAATTTTTTAAACGAACGAAATATTCTAATAGTCAAAATATTTAATGTAAAAGACTAATTAAATAAATTAAACAAATTTATATTTCAATTGAAAAAATATTTTAGTTAAAAAAGTATTTCAATTAAAAAAATTATTTTGGTTAAAAAATATTTAAATTAAAATTAAATATTTTAGTTTAAAACAAAATTTTAATTGAAAAAACTATTTGTGTTAAAAAATATTTCAATACTGAGAAAGTATTTTAGCTATAGAAATATTCAAATTACAAAAAAAAGCTATTTGAGTTAGAAATTATTCCAATTGAAAAAATATTTTCGTTAGAAAAATATTCGAATTAAAAAAAAAGTATTTAAATTGAAAAAAGTATTTAAATTAAAAAATATTCAAATTGAAAATAAGTTCTAGTTTAGAAAAATACTTAAATTAAAAAAGTACTTTATCTACAAATTACTTCAATTGAAAAAACTATTTTATTTAGAAAAATCTTCAAATTTATTTGTTTTACAAATTAAAAAAAATTATATTTAAATCGAAAAAAGTAGTTGAATTACAAAATATTTTAATTGAAAAACTATTTGGGTTTAAAAATATTTTAATTGAAAAAGTATTTTAGCTATCAAAATATTTAAATTACAAAAAAAAATAACAAATTTTGTTAATAAATATTTCAATACTGAGAAAGTATTTTAGCTATAGAAATATTTAAATTACAAAAAAAACTATTTGAGTTAGAAATTATTTCAATTGAAAAAATATTTTAGAAAAATATTCAAATTAAAAAAAATTATATTTAAATTGAAAAAATTGTAGTTGAGTTAAAAAGTATTTGAATTGAAAAACTATTTGTGTTTAAAAATATATACAATTAAAAAAATATTCTAGTTTAGAAAAATACTTAAATGAAAAAAATTATTTGATTTACAAATTATTTCAATTAAAAAAAAATATTGCAGTTAAAAAAATATCCAAATTAAAAAAACACTATTCATATTGAAAAAAAGTACATTAAGTAACAAAATACTAAAAAAAATTAGCGAAATACTGTAAAAATCGAGACAAAATGAAAATTAACATTTACAAAATAAGAAAAGTTAAATCAAACTTTTATGTTTCTAAATTATTTTCTCAATGCTCATTAAAAATTTCGTTAAATTAACAGGAAAGTGAAATTAAATTTTCCTTTATTTTGACAATCGAAAAATCTAATTGACAAAAACGAGAATAAAAATATAAAACATTTGAGAATTAATGCAGAAAAACAATTTCTTTAAACTCTAAGAACTTTTATTTTTTAACTTTTTAATTTTTGTATATTTTATTTCTTTTGTTGTTTTAATTTTTTATATGCTTTTTGTTTAATTTTTTAGTTTCCAACTTGGTTAAAAAAACAATTAAACCTCACCTCTTATTAATTATTGTTAAAGACAAAGGCAAAAAAAAAGAAAAAAAAACGTATGGAAAATGTAATGTCTAGTGTTATGTGTCGAGTTAAGTAATTAAGAACACACACACATGCACGTGAAAGGGAAGCAAGTTCTGTTAAACAAGGCAATACGATTAAATTCCAGAACAGGAGGACTTTAAATGCGAAAAATTGAAAGCATTCACGAAGGATGCCAAGATTAATTGAAATTGTTGAGTCGAGTTGAGTCTAATATATCCCTAGTTTTTAGTTTTTTCTTCAAATGCAATTCGCCCCTTTTCCTATTTAATTAACTAAAAAATTTAAATTTTTTAAAAAAATTTACAATTTTAAATTGTAAATTGTAAATTCGAAGAAAATTTACGTTTACCAAAAATTAATAAAGCAAATTATTGCCTTTTTGTTTTTTTCAACAATTACTAAAGTAAAATATTGTCTTTATTAATTATTCTTTTCAACAATTAATAAAGCAAACTGTTGCCTTTTGTTAATTGTTCTTTTCAACAATTACCAAAGTAAACTATTGCTTTTATTAGCTGTTCTTTTCAACAATTAATAAAGCAAACTATTCTTTTACATTTTTTTTAACTATTGTTCTTTTTAAAGATTAAAGCAAAAGAAACAAAAATTTATTATACTAAAGAAAATACAGTACTAAAGAAGAAAAATAGATAAATAAACAAACGGAATTAAATTGAGTCATTTAATATCGAACCTATATGGCAAGGAAAGTCGAATCTAATTATCTAAACTGAAAAAACAACAAAAAAGTAAACTGCAATTTATAAACTAAACTATTTGTAGTAGAAAAATCGAAACATGTAAATCAAGACAAACAATGAATTATTAATCGATGAACTAATTTGACTGACGAATAAAAAACTTACTAACAATTAACTTACAATTAATAATTAATTATTAAATAATTATTTGAATTTTCCCGAAATAATAATAAAAATTTTAATATTAATAATTAAGGTAATAATTATTAATATTAATAATCATTATTAGATAATATAAATAATAATCTCATTTTTCCCGATTGGAGATTCATTTCTCGAGATTCAAATCACTAATGGACTATTAATGTCACATTCGGCTAAATTACTTTTCAAGTTGTGTAAATATTGCGAGTAGAAGAATAAACGCTACTTATGAATATTGTCAAACGCGATTATATCTGATTTTTTTGAGCAATAATCTCTATGTCTGCTTTTTCTTTTTTGTCGAATTTGCGACTATGTGGATTAATTATTATTTTAAAGTCTTGTATTGTAAATGAGTACGTTGATGTTGGAATGAGAACTATGACTGAGACTGTCTTCAGAACTTGAACTCTCGCTACTAAATGCATCGCTAGTTCTAGCGCTAGTATTAGCATGAATTTCACGATTACGAGTGGTAAACTCACCACCAAGACTGCCGCAATTCGCCGGCTCGACTGGCGTTGAACTTTCACGATTCTCCTCAATAACAGCCATATCTCTTCGATTCACCACCGTTTCACGTGTCACTTGCTGTGCCTCGCTGAATTCCTCCGCTCGTCTTCCCACCTTTCAAAATCAATCATTTATTTTAAATAATTCACCATTTTTTTTTAATAACTTTGAAAATTATGAAATTAAATATCAGGGATGTCACAAAAATTTTATTTTATTTTATTTTTCCCTGATTTACAAACAAAATTTTGACTTTTTCCCTGAACCTTGAAGAATATTCTGATTCACTTCAAAAAATATTAGATACTCAAAAGAAATGTTCTATTACATTTATTTACGAATTTCTGTAATTGTAAAATTACTCGAAAACATCATTAACTTTTTTTTAAATAAATATTTAATCATTTGAATTATAATCAATATTTTAATTAAATGAACAAAATAAAAGAGTAAGAGGAGGAAAAATTTACCTTGCTGGTGAATGTGGGCTCCTTAAATGTACCGAATGGATGACGTGGTAATTCGTGTGGCAACGGTGGACCCGAATAATCCAACTTAGCCCGTTTCAGTTCCTCTATACTTCGTTCCATGGCAGAAATGACGGCATCGTCGTCATAGGAAAAGTCTTTTTCTAACTTAATTTGTAAATAATTGCAAAACTCATCTAAACTATCCATTGCAAGTAATTGTCGTTTGTGTAATTTCATCACCGTGTATGCCATCGCTGGCAAAATACGATCGCCGTCCAAAAGAAATATATCCCAAATCCTAAGTCCAAGACTCACTGGCGTCTAAAATTTGACAAAAGAAAAATTCTCCAATTATTAGAAAAAAATATTTTTCAAAAAAAAAAAAAAAAAAATAGAAAAAATGGAACAAAAATAGAAAAAAACAGAACAAAAATATAAAAAAAAAATACAAAAATAGTATTAAAGAAATAAGAAATTTCTAATTAAAAGAAATATTTACTCTTTCTTGAAATACAACAAAGAACCATTTCAAAGCGTATAATATTGAATCGCAACCACTCTTGTCCAATTTTCGCTTTAACTTTGGAAGAAACTTTGTCATTATTTTGTCATGGTGTTCTATAAAACGATTCAATTTTGGAAAGCCGTCTACGTAGAATCCTGTGGAATTTTTCAATTCGAATTAGTGTTCAATTAATACAGAAGACATGGAAATTTAAAAAAAAAATAAAATTATTAAAATAGGATTAAATTTTAAATAGTATAAAATGTGAAATAGTACTAAATATTAAATAGCATTAAATATTAAATAGTACTAATTATTAAATAGCATTAAATATTAAATAGTTTAAATATTAAATAGTACTAAATATTAAATAGTATTAAATATTACTAATTCCGAAAATATTAGACTAAAAATACGTAAATCTGGATCATATTTCCATCTTTTTAAAAAGAAGTAGCGTTTTTTTTTATTTTCTAAAGAAAGGCAAAAATTGCGAACCGTGCATGCTGTATTTTTTGTCTGTGAGCAGTACAGAAAGTCCCCAAAATGCATCCTCCTCATCCATGTAGAGTAAAAGTAGACCAGCTAAGACGGACATGCCTTGGCAATAGCCAACTTCCATATTATACATACTATAGGCCGCCAATACGTAGAACATGGACTTTTGTTTAATACTATATCTCTCTCTATAAAAAGAAAAGAAAAACGAATTTCGTTAAAAAATTCTCAAAAAAAATTTAACTTTATATATTTTTTCTAATTTCCAGAAAGAATATTAACTTCTTCTTCCCATCCTGGTAATAATTTTAAATCTAAATTTTACATTATTGTGAAATTTAATTATCTTCCAAATTTTCAGTTAGAAATCTTCTTTCTCTATTCTGATAAAAATTACTCAAATAATTAATTAGATATTATACAAGGTTTAATTATTTGACAACTCAGTGATAGAATCAAAATTATTCAAAAATTTTAATATAAGACCTGAAATTTAATTATTTTTGAAAATTTTTTCTGTAACTTCCAATATTTAATTACTCTGGAATTTTTAATTAAAATTCTTTGCTAAATCAATTATTTGAATAAAAAAAATTCAATTATTCCTATAAATTGCTAAACTTTTTGAAATTTATCCATTTCTTAAAATTTCTACTATAACTCTTGCAATATTCAATTATTTTCTAGAATTTTTTGACTAAAATTTTTCACCAAATCTAATATTTAAAAAAAGGAGTTCAATTATTTCTAAAAAAAAATATCATAACACTTCTAATATTTAATTATTTTCTAATATTCCAACTTAAATTCTTCTTTAAATCAATTTTTATCAAAATATTAAAAAGTACTACGAGAATTCAATTATTTAAATACAAAAGTAATTAATTTTGATAAAATAATTAATCAATTCTAAAAAAAATTTAAACTTTACCTCTATTTATGGGTTTTTTAAAAATATATTTTTTCTATACTTTAAAAATATTTAAAAGAAAGAAATTTCGAAGACAATTTAAGATTTTAATAATTCGATATTTTTTCTACAACTTTGGGTAAAGTTTTAGAGACACTAATTTTTATTTTCCCAGTTCTCTGAGAAATTTATTACTGTCAAAATTCATATAAAATTTAATAAAAAGTCTAACTGGAAAATAATTTTCACAGGAATTACATTTTTTGTTTTACTCGCTAATAAAATAAAATGAGAGGAATTATTTTTCAAAAAAGGTGCTAAAAAATGTTAGATAAAACAAATTAACTTGTAAATTAATGAATGCATTGTAATTTAAATCAATAGTATCTTTTTTATCAATACTTAGAATTTTGATAGTTTGAAATTTGAATCGAAGGAAATTTGATCTAAGATTAGATTATTATTTTTTTCAGAAGAAAATAAATATTAATTTTTTTATTTCAACTATTAGCGGGTTTAAAGTAATGGAAATTCGCAAACAAAAAAAAGGGAAAAAGTAGATTTTAGTGGCACAAATCTAGAAAAAAGTATCCAAATAGTGGCAAATCGTAAAAAAGTAGTAAATAAGTGCGAAGCCAGTCTTCATTATTCAGCTAATTTAAAATTCATTTTTCAATTTTTATTTTTGAAGTTTAGATTTTCAATTTCAATTTTTCAATTTTTCAATTTTAATTTGAATTTTAGTTTTTCAATTTTTATTTTTTAATTTTAATGTTTCAATTTTTATTTTAGTTTTTCAATTACTAATTGTTTCAATTACTAATTATTACCTGTAATTAATATGATCCCTATATTGTCTAGCGACATCAGCATCAATTTGCCTTATTTCCGTGGACCATTGTCTCGCCAAATGCAGCATCTCGTCATATTTTCCCGGGTGCTCAATCTTTAAATTTGTAGTACCCAATAAAGTACTCCAAATTTGTCCTCGATATCTATCAGGAATACCTTTATATATTCTACGTCGTAATTTCTCCTTAGTCGCTGGATCATTCCACTTTTTTGTCATCTTCTCCCACTTCTTTAGCCTCTCCATCTCCGTCTGTTTTATCTTAATTTCATTTTTATCCACTTTCGGTAATTCCGCGTCACTGAAAATTTTCAAACAATTTTATTAAAACTTTTCCAACAAAATTTGATTTTTATTTGTATTCTTAAAATAATATTCTTCATATTCGTTAAATAATAAATTCGGTAATGCGGTAAAATGATAATGTGGAGGAAAAAAATAATTCTTTTTGATATTTATAGATAGTTTTATGAAAATTTACAAGGTTGCCACGCTTTTGCTCTTTTCAAATTCCCTGACTTTTCCAGGTTTTTCAGGTTGAAAAACGGAATTTTTTCCAGGTTTTTAAAACAAAAATTATTCGAAAACATCAATAACTTCATTTTTAAAGGTAAATATTTAATCATTATTATTTTTATAGAAAATAAAATAATCAAAAATTTGAAATTCAATAACATATAAAAATATTTCAAGAATAAACACAATAACTTTAGAAAATAACAATTTTCCAGAATTTTGATCAAAATTTCCTGACTTTTTGCAGGTTTTTTCAAGGTTTATAGAATTCCTTGGCATTTACAGGTTTTCCAGGTTTCCATGTTGCATGACAACGCTGAATTTAATTTTTTTTTTCGATAATTAGAAAGAATGGAAAATAAGATTAATTTACTGTATAAATCCATATCGGTCAGTTGTGTGATAAACCGGAAGACTTGGGTCTTCCCAAGGATCGATGTGTGCACCATTTTCTCTACCACGATCGTAACAACTGAATATTCTGTCCCTTTCAGCAGCCGATCGCTTCAACAGTTCTTCCTCATTCATCCCACGTGCGAAATTGTAAACAGATTCTTATACATGCCGTTTCCTGATAATGAATTAGTCATTCAATTATAAATCACCATCTAATGGAAAATAGAATTCTCTCATTAAAACCATTTAATATTCATTAAAAGGTACCAATTTCAGTACATAATTTTACCACAGAGTAAAATTAATTTTAACCAGAACTTTAAATACCAAAAAAATAAAATACAAAAATATCGATTTACAATCAATTTTTCGTTTTTTAGACTAAAAAACATTCATAAATATCTACTTTAAAAAGAATTGAAACATTTGTCAGACGGAAATAAATAGATAACAATTTTAATTACATCCTCTTAAAAATGCATTTTTTCAGAACTAGAAAAAATTGAGATGAACCGTTATTTATCTCGAAAATGGCACATATGGTACAAATATTCAATATTCTTTTCTCATTTTTTAATCAAATGAAAATTATTGAAAATAAAAATTTAATGCTAGAAAACTTGAATGTACAGGAAATAAAAAAATATACATTATACAGTTTATACATTGCAAAATAGATAAAGTGCAGCAAGTGTTTTGGCATGTTTCGAGGAAGAAAAAAATAGAACATTTCGGAAAAAATCTTGAGTTTATAGAAAAAATAAGAGGAAGAGTTTTGAATGAATAATTCAAAAGTGAATATAAGTGAATTAGTTGCTAAATTGGCGGATAAAATGACGAAATAAATAAAAAGAGGCGTAAGTATTAAAATTGATAAGGTTACTGACTTCTGCGTGAGAAACTGCAATCTTGAAATGAAAACATCTAGTTTTCGTGGCTACATTATTCATTTAAAAAAAGTTGTTTTTTTTATTCTTTCAATCACTGATTAACGTCCACTTTTTAAAGAAGCACTTTTAATTAAAGAAGCGAAATATGAATTTATACTTTTGGCTTTTTTTTTTGCTGATCGAGCTCATTCCTTGCTCTTCGTTTTGCTGACACGTCATAAACTGTTAGAACCATAGAAGGAGTTTCCGCTCTTTTTTTCAATGACAGCGATCACAGCGCTTTTGGAACTAATTCGCTTTTTTCGAAAAAAAGTAAAAAACAGAAAAACCTTTTTTTTATTTTTATTTCGAAATTCTCGAGGTGGAATTTAAATTAAAAAGAAATTTGTTTCTTGTAAACGTAATGTAAACCATGTAAACAAACAAATAAATAGTGTCCAGTGAATTCTGTTTTATCGACAAACGTTTCAATATAGAAATCGTTGTTACCGACTTTAAAGAGACAATACGCAACACCTACGACTCAAATAAATGGAATACAAAGAGGAAGAAAAATGATCAAACGCAAGCAACGAGTAATGCTTTTTTAAAAAAAACAAGTGTCTAAATTAACAGTGAATAATAGCATGCAATACAATGTGAGTGTGCAGTTTGGAGTGTTCCATTGGAGAAGTAGAATATTATAATCAACAGTGAAAATAAGAACAGAAAAAAAATTTGCTGACGAAGGTACGATGGTTGCTTTGTTTATGGAGATCAGCTGTATAACTAAACATTTATGTCACATTCAATAATGCTGATTTCGATTCAATTTCTAAATTTCTAAATAGTTACTAAACGTAATAACTATAATTACATTTCATAATTCGAAAAACGAATAACTTAATTTGATTTGGCACTTGCCCTTTAAATTCATATTGTTCTCTTCTGTCAATTGCCTAATTTGTTTATGACAAAACTTTTTTCATTTGTCTTCTATTTTTCTCGAGATATAAAAAGAATTTTTTTTTCACGCAATATTACAAAGAAAAATATGACGTTAATAATTTTCAAAAATAAAATGTTCAAGGACAAAAATACTATACAAAAATTTCTCTAATTGACAAATAAAAAAAATCTTGAATGTGATTAAAAAAATGTTCCATTTTTGAAAAAAAGAAAACAAGTGAAGAGTGTTGATTATTTTACAATACAAAGATTTCTCTTTTTAATAAATTATGATAATAGAGAATTCATATATACTTTCACGATAACTTTCTGTTTATGCAAAAAAAAAAAAAAACAGAAGAATGGAAGGAACCATGTAGGAGCATATTTTTACAGTAAAAGAAAAACAAACATTTCTGTACTCATAAATACCATAAATGATCATTAAGGAAAGAAATTTTTTTTACCACTGCAATGAATGTTTTCGATATTCAGAATGTGTGAAATTTGTCCATCATTTAACGAATAAAATTGAAGCTGTCATTGAATATCATTTCATTAAATGTTTATAACATGAAAGAATGAAACGAGACACTGTAATAACCTGTGTGGAGCCAAACCGCAGAACACAAACGGTAAGGCTCCAAAAAAAGATCAATAAGATATTCGTATTATCGTTTAATATCATTTTTGCACGAGTGTCTTTTTGACTTTATTCTCTAATAATTAGATTCTTTAGAAATTTTTTTTTCTTTTCATTCTTTTTTTCTGTTTTTCTCTCGTTTCCTTTTTTCTTTTTGTTTTCCTTTTTCCTTATTTTCTTTTTTTTCTTTCGTTTTCTTCTGAAAAGAATTTTTAATTATTTTTTCCCTTGAGTCTATCTTATCATAAACTTTAGTTTTTTTTATTTTCAAAGATTTTCTTTTATTATAGTTAATTTAGAATTTTTTTTTCCTCTTTAATAAATAATTATATGGATATATTTTCAATTTCTAGAATATAGAGAATAAATTTAAAGGGATTTTTTTTTTGTATTTCTAGATGACAACAATTCTCGATGTCAATTATCAGCAATTGGAACCTTATTCAGAAGGCGATGGCGAAGAGGAAAATGAAGATCGCGAGGAAACGCCACAAGAATCAGGCGTTATGATCCACGTTGTGCCGGAAAATAATAAAACTCGATGGAATCATATAGAAGATTTAGATTCATTTTTTACAAGAATGTATCATTATCATCAAAATAATGGCTTTATATGTATGATGACGAAAGAATTTTGCGAACTAGGACAATTTATCTTCGTAGTTATTTTTACGCTTTTCTTATTTAATTGCGTTGACTATCCAATATTATTCAGGTGAGAAATTCAATCGCAATTTTTACTATTAAATAAAAAAAGAAAATGATAATAATAAAATAAGTGTACAAAAAATAAAAATAATTTTTATTTCTCTCTTTCAGGGATAAAGTAACAGCAAATAGTACATCATTCAAGATTAAAATGACTGATGCATTTTTGCCAGTAAAAAAGTGTTCTCAAAGTGCAGGCCTAATAACCTGGATTTTTATTTCAGTAGCGACGATATTTTGGATTTTACGTTTAGTTAAATGTTTATATCACTTGACGCAATATTGGGATATTAAATTATTCTTTAATAGTGCATTAAAAATTGAAGATAGAGAATTACAAAATGTCACTTGGTATGAAGTGCAAAAGAAAGTGAGAGAAGTCCAAAAGGAACAAGAAATGTGCATACACAAAAAAGAACTTACCGAATTAGATATTTATCATAGAATATTAAGATTTAAAAATTATATGGTAGCTATGATCAACAAATCTTTATTACCAGTGAGACTTAAATTGCCAATAATAGGAGAAGTCATTTTTTTAACTCGAGGACTTAAATATAATATGGAATTATTATTATTCTGTGAGTTAAAAAAGTATTTTATTTTTATTTCGATTTTTTTAGCCAAAATTTGAATTTTGTTTTATATTATATTTATTTACATTTATTTGTTTATTTATATTTTGTTTTTATTTCGATTTCTTTAGATAAGAAACTGAATTTTTTTGATACGAAATATTAAGAATTTTAATTTTCAGGGGGTCCGTGGTCACCGTTTGAAAATAATTGGCATCTGAAGGAGGATTACAAGAAGCAAAATAAGCGACAAGAATTAGCGAAACTATTATCGAAACATATTCTTTATGTTGGAGTAGCAAATTTCATTTTATGCCCATTGATACTGTCGTGGCAGATTTTATACTTTTTTTTCAACTACGCCGATGTGAGTAATTTTTTTCCTGGTTTTACTGACTCTTTATGGACTTATCAGGCCTTGGATTGATAATTTTTTTCTATTTTTCTCGACACATTTCCGTAGAAAAAAATTCTAAAAAGTTATCACAATTTTCCAAAAAAATTGAAATTTACTTATTTTGAAAATTACAAAGTTTGGTGTCTTTTTAAATTTTTATCAAAATCTGTTTTTCTGCACTTTTCCTTAAATTTGGTTAAAAAACCAGCAACTTTTCCTTTGATCACTTTTTAGTAGAACAAAAATCAAAAAAGTTATCACAAGTTTCCAAAAAAATTGAAATTTATTTATTTTGAAAATTCCAAAGTTTCGTATCATTTTAAAATTTTATGAAAAGCTGTTTTTCTGTTTTGTTCCTTAAATTTGGTTCAAAAACCAGCAACTTTTCCTTTAAACAATTTTTTGTAGAACAAAATTCTAAAAAGTTATCACAATTTTCCAAAAAAATTGAAATTTATTTATTTTGAAAATTCCAAAGTTTGGTATCTTTTTAAAATTTTATGAAAAGCTGTTTTTCTGTTTTGTTCCTTAAATTTGGTTTAAAAACAAGCAACTTTTCCTTTAAACACTTTTTTGTAGAACAAAATTCTAAAAAGTTATCCCAATTTTCCAAAAAAATTGAAATTTATTTATTTTTAAAATTCCAAAGTTTGGTATCTTTTTAAAATTTTATCAAAATCTGTTTTTCTGCACTTTTCCTTAAATTTGGTTTAAAAACAAGCAACTTTTCCTTTAAACAATTTTTTGTAGAACAAAATTCTAAAAAGTTATCACAAATTTCCAAAAAAATGGAAATTTATTTATTTTGAAAATTCGAAAGTTTGGTATCTTTTTAAATTTTTATGAAAATCTGTTTTTCTGTTTTTATCCTTATATTTGGTTTAAAAACAAACAACTTTTTCTTTACACACATTTCCGTAGAACAAAATTCTAAAAAGTTATCACAATTTTCCAAAAAATTGAAATTTACTTATTTTGAAAATTCCAAAGTTTGGTATCTTTTTAAATTTTTATGAAAATCTGTTTTTATGTCTTTTTTCCTTAAATTTGGTTTATAAACAAACAACTTTTCCTTTAGACACATTTTCGTAGAACAAAATTTTAAAAAGTTATCACAATTTTCCAAAAAATTGAAAATTATTGATTTTGAAAATTCGAAAGTTTGATATCTTTTTAAATTTTTATGAAAATCTGTTTTTCTGTTTTTTTCCTCAAATTTGGTTTAAAAACATACAACTTTTCCTTTAGACACATTCTCGTAGAACAAAATTTTTAAAAGTTATCACAATTTTCCAAAAAATTGAAATTTACTTATTTTGAAAATTCCAAAGTTTGGTATCTTTTTAAATTTTTATGAAAATCTGTTTTTATGTTTTTTTCCTTAAATTTGGTTTAAAAACAAACAACTTTTCCTTTAGACACATTTTCGTAGAACAAAATTTTAAAAAGTTATCACAATTTTCCAAAAAATTGAAATTTACTTATTTTGAAAATTCCAAAGTTTGGTATCTTTTTAAATTTTTATGAAAATCTGTTTTTATGTTTTTTTCCTTAAATTTGGTTTAAAAACAAACAACTTTTCCTTTAGACACATTTCCGTAGAACAAAATTCTAAAAAGTTATCACAATTTTCCAAAAAATTGAAATTTACTTATTTTGAAAATTCCAAAGTTTGGTATCTTTTTAAAATTTCATCAAAATCTGTTTTTCTGTTTTTTTCCTTAAATTTGGTTTAAAAACAAACAACTTTTCCTTTAGACACATTTTCGTAGAACAAAATTTTAAAAAGTTATCACAATTTTCCAAAAAATTGAAAATTATTGATTTTGAAAATTTGAAAGTTTGATATCTTTTTAAATTTTTATGAAAATCAGTTTTTCTGTTTTGTTCCTTAAATTTGGTTTAAAAACAAGCAACTTTTCTTTTAAACACTTTTTTGTATAACAAAATTCTAAAAAGTTATCACAATTTTCCAAAAAAAAATGAAATTTATTAATTTTGTAAATTCCTTAAGTTTGGTATCTTTTTAAAATTTTATCAAAATCTGTTTTTCTGCACTTTTCCTTAAATTTGGTTAAAAAACCAGCAACTTTTCCTTGAAACACTTTTTTGTAGGACAAAATTCTAAAAAGTTATCACAATTTTCCAAAAAAATTGAAATTTACTTTTTTTGAAAATTCCAAAGTTTGGTATCTTTTAAAATTTCTATGAAAATCTGTTTTTCTGTTTTGTTCCTTAAATTTGGTTCAAAAACCAGCAACTTTTCCTTTAGACACATTTTCGTAGAACAAAATTTTTAAAAGTTATCACACTTTTCCAAAAAAATTGAAATTTACTTATTTTAAAAATTCCAAAGTTTGGTATCTTTTTAAAATTTTATCAAAATCTGTTTTTCTGGACTTTTCCTTAAATTTCGATCAAAAACAAACAACTTTTCCATTGAACACTTTTTAGTAAAACAAAAATCAAAAAAGTTATCACAATTTTCCAAAAAATTAAAAATTATTGATTTTAAAAATTCGAAAGTTTGATATCTTTTTAAATTTTTATGAAAATCTGTTTTTCTGTTTTTTTCCTTAAATTTGGTTTAAAAACAAACAACTTTTCCTTTAGACACATTTTCGTAGAACAAAATTCTAAAAAGTTATCACAATTTTCCCAAAAAATTGAAATTTACTTATTATGAAAATTCCAAAGTTTGGTATCTTTTTAAATTTTTACGAAAATCTGTTTTTCTGTTTTTTTCTTTAAATTTGGTTTAAAAACAAACAACTTTTCCTTTAAACACTTTTTTGTAGAACAAAATTCTAAAAAGTTATCCCAATTTTCCAAAAAAATTGAAATTTATTTATTTTTAAAATTCCAAAGTTTGGTATCTTTTTAAAATTTTATCAAAATCTGTTTTTCTGCACTTTTCCTTAAATTTGGTTTAAAAACAAGCAACTTTTCCTTTAAACAATTTTTTGTAGAACAAAATTCTAAAAAGTTATCACAAATTTCCAAAAAAATGGAAATTTATTTATTTTGAAAATTCGAAAGTTTGGTATCTTTTTAAATTTTTATGAAAATCTGTTTTTCTGTTTTTATCCTTATATTTGGTTTAAAAACAAACAACTTTTTCTTTACACACATTTCCGTAGAACAAAATTCTAAAAAGTTATCACAATTTTCCAAAAAATTGAAATTTACTTATTTTGAAAATTCCAAAGTTTGGTATCTTTTTAAATTTTTATGAAAATCTGTTTTTATGTCTTTTTTCCTTAAATTTGGTTTATAAACAAACAACTTTTCCTTTAGACACATTTTCGTAGAACAAAATTTTAAAAAGTTATCACAATTTTCCAAAAAATTGAAAATTATTGATTTTGAAAATTCGAAAGTTTGATATCTTTTTAAATTTTTATGAAAATCTGTTTTTCTGTTTTTTTCCTCAAATTTGGTTTAAAAACATACAACTTTTCCTTTAGACACATTCTCGTAGAACAAAATTTTTAAAAGTTATCACAATTTTCCAAAAAATTGAAATTTACTTATTTTGAAAATTCCAAAGTTTGGTATCTTTTTAAATTTTTATGAAAATCTGTTTTTATGTTTTTTTCCTTAAATTTGGTTTAAAAACAAACAACTTTTCCTTTAGACACATTTTCGTAGAACAAAATTCTAAAAAGTTATCACAATTTTCCCAAAAAATTGAAATTTACTTATTATGAAAATTCCAAAGTTTGGTATCTTTTTAAATTTTTACGAAAATCTGTTTTTCTGTTTTTTTCTTTAAATTTGGTTTAAAAACAAACAACTTTTCCTTTAGACACATTTCCGTAGAACAAAATTATAAAAAGTTATCACACTTTTCCAAAAAAATTGAAATTTACTTATTTTGAAAATTCCAAAGTTTGGTATCTTTATAAAATTTTATCAAAATTTGTTTTTCTGCATTTTTCCTTAAATTTGGTTTAAAAACAAACAACTTTTCCTTTAGACACATTTTCGTAGAACAAAATTTTAAAAAGTTATCACACTTTTCCAAAAAAATTGAAATTTACTTATTTTAAAAATTCCAAAGTTTGGTATCTTTTTAAATTTTTATGAAAATCTGTTTTTCTGCACTTTTCCTTAAATTTGGTTAAAAAACCATCAACTTTTCCATTGATCACTTTTTAGTAGAACAAAAATCAAAAAAGTTATCACAATTTTCCAAAAAATTGAAAATTATTGATTTTGAAAATACGAAAGTTTGATATCTTTTGAAAATTTCCATCAAAATCTGTTTTTCTGTTTTTTTCCTTAAATTTGGTTTAAAAACAAACAACTTTTCCTTTAGACACATTTTCGTAGAACAAAATTTTAAAAAGTTATCACAATTTTCCAAAAAATTGAAAATTATTCATTTTAAAAATTCCAAAGTTTGGTATCTTTTTAAATTTTTATGAAAATCTGTTTTTATGTTTTTTCCTTAAATTTGGTTTATAAACAAACAACTTTTCCTTTAGACTCATTTCCGTAGAACAGAATTCTAAAAAGTTATCACACTTTTCCAAAAAAATTGAAATTTACTTATTTTGAAAATTCCAAAGTTTAGTATCTTTTTAAAATTTTATAAAAATCTGTTTTTCTGCTTTTTTCCTTAAATTTGGTTTATAAACAAACAACTTTTCCTTTAGACTCATTTCCGTAGAACAGAATTCTAAAAAGTTATCACTCTTTTCCAAAAAAATTGATATTTACTTATTTTGAAAATTCTAAAGTTTAGTATCTTTTTAAAATTTTATAAAAATCTGTTTTTCTGTTTTTTTCCTTAAATTTGGTTTAAAAACAAACAACTTTTCCTTTGAACACTTTTTTGTAGAACAAAATTCTAAAAAGTTATCACAATTTTCCAAAAAAATTGAAATTTACTTATTATGAAATTTCCAAAGTTTGGTATCTTTTTAAATTTTTACGAAAATCTGTTTTTCTGTTTTTTTCTTTAA